CAAGTTCGAGCAGGAACAGGAACAGCACCAAAAGCGAGTCGACAATGCCTTGAAGAGGCTGCAGGATGAGAGGGCACGGTTGGCTGCTGAGTAGCGTGAGGTGTATCGCAAGTAAGGCGCGGGCGGGTTCTTAAAAGCTCGGCTGAGGAAGTCCACGAGGGCGGGGGAGCTCAGGGAGGGGGGAGGGGGAGGAAGACGACGAGGTCGGAATGATCAGGGGATGTGAGTGGACGGTGGACAGGGGGGGGGAATCGGCTGGGCAAAGGAACTTATGTAGATTCCATCGGCTTCGTCTTTAAGAATTTGCCCGACATACAGATTCGAGCTCGGTTGGAGGAAACCCGAAGTTCGCGACATGGTCGAGGGTCGGGGTAGCTACGCGTGGCCGTCTTCCTAAAGCGGACCTCGAGGCCGCGCGAGCCTAGCCCTGATCCGCCGCCCGCGCCAGAGCCCGAGTCGGAATCCGAGGGCGATGACTCTTCTCTTGATGACATGTGACCCGTTGCCTCAGTGACCTCGCACGGCGGACAGTCGAACGAGAGCGACTGGAAATAGGAAGGCTTATGGAGCCGAGGAGGGTTATGATGCGATTGGGGGAAGTTGGGGACGCCAATGCCAATGCTCAGCCTCACTCACACTCAGACCCAGATCATTCATATTTACTCGCGCTCAGCCCGCTCATACTCAGACTCGCTCGCACTCAGAGCCACAAGCTCAGAGTCATGTGTATCCTGAGCCACGCGCATTCAGGCTCATTCGCTCACGTGCTCAACTCATTCAGACTCACGTTGGTCGCACTCAGACTCATGAACACTCGTCGTCCTACACTCAGACTCGACATACCTCAGAGACACGGCGATGCCAAGAGGAGCCCCCCCGCTTCCTTCCTCCCCGCTTTCGCTCTCTCTCTCTCTCTCTCTCTCGTTCGCTCCCTCTTTCTCTCTTCCTATCTCCCTCCACCATGTGTATCTAGGCATACATATACATACACGGATCGCACTCTTGTTGTTTGTGATCCTTCTCTCTCTCTCACTCTCTCTACCCCTCTCTCTCTATGTCTCCTTCTCTTCCCCATGCTCCTCCCGCTTGTCCGTTCCCCTCCCAACCTCCTCGCCCGCGCCTTCTCCCGCCCTCACCCTCTATGGTAGCCTTCCACGCGCGGGCTCAAGTGATTTAAGACCGTGTAACATAACCTGGTCTATGTTAACGACGTGGTGGCCGAACACAACTGTATGATGTCATATGTATAATTGGGCCCGCACATGGAATAACACGTCAGGCTTGCGTTTTTACACATGACACACGCCCAACGTACAGGGGCCTTGCGATAATACCCACTCACGTTGGACACCAGGGCAATATTCGAGTTTGAAGATGCGGTTCCAAAAAAACGTGGTCGTCGAATTGCCTTGGTTGTTGCCTTGCGTTTCCACCCGCGCGCGTCGCAACGCGCTTTCATTGGTGGCATGTATGTGTTGCGCTGGAAGAATGATTGTTTTTGATGATTTTGTTATTGGTTTTGTTGTCTGGCGGTTTTTAGGCTGGCGGTTTTTTTTAACTGCCAAAACCTGGCGGTTAAAACAACCGCCCTGGTACCTCAGGGCTCCCCCCCCCCCTCCACCTCCCCCCCCCCATCCCTGTTTCTCCGGCCGAGCTGAGAAGGCGCGCGGGAGAGTATTGTATTAGGCGGGCGCGCCACCGCCAGCTCACGAACCGGGCGAAGAACCGCCCCCGCCAGCAGCGGGCGAGTCTAAACGCACAACAAACTCTTTCAGGAAGCCCTGGCACGCCCCAGGTTAGCTCTGCGAAGGCCAGGAAGCATTGGAGGCACAGGGGTCCCAGACAGCTCCTAGGGCATGAGCGTGCATGTGCATTGGGATGTGCACGCATGTGCGCCCGCGCGCTTCACCGCATGTGCGTGCATGTGCGGGCCCGCGCGGCCTCCCGAAGAGAGGTTGCACAGGCATGTGCGTGCATGTGCCGATGACAAATCTGCGATTCTCGAACACCTCCCGCATGTGCAGGCATGTGCGCGCATGTGCGTCGGACTGTGCGTGCATGTGCGTATGATGGATACATCAAAACGCAGCGCACATGCCCCCGCACATGCCTGGGCACGACGTGCACAGTAGGAAGTCCATCCAAGAAGGACCGCACAGGCCTGGCACATGACTGGCACATGCCGCGCACATGCGCGCACATGACAGCGCAAAAACGGCCGCACATACACCCACCCAGGGGTATATATGTGAGTGCGGTGTAAATCGTTATTTATAGATTTGCGTATTTCGTAGCTGTTAATCCTTCTGTCGATCAATCGCATCTACGTGCAATTTCACGTGAGCGAACGCCTGATCATTGAGGAATCCCTCTCTCGCATCAGCGCGTTTCCCACCCCTCCCTGCCGCGCAAGAACGGTTGCGCATTGACCGTGCGCTCTCGCATATCAAGGCGCCTCGGGCGCGGCCAGCTGCAGAACAAACATTTGCAGATGTCAGAACGCACTCCACGCAGGTCCACGACGTGGGCCGCGCCCCTTTCCCGCTGGCCCAGGGCAACGGTCATCCGCCGCCATTGCGCACGCGGGCCCCGAGGCCATCGGCCCACCAAGATCGATGGCCCACTGGAAGAGGATTGCCCCAAAAGGCTGCTAGAAACACGGCTGCTCCTCGACCTAGTGCGACCTATCATGGGCGACCAGAGCTTCGCGCGCATTGCCCGACTGGGGGGTGTCGGCGAGGGCCCCATGATGTTCGCACTAGTATCCGCTCTTGACATCCCACTAAACGTTCCGTCTCTTGATCTAATGGATTGAATAAGCTCTGTAAGTCATCGATCGGCAGGTGAATCAAAGTCGCGTCGATTGGCGACTTTGAAAGAAAAGCATGGCGTTGCTGATTTGCTCAACGCGAATTGATCCAAGGCCTTCGGAAGATCACCATGCACGTGCCGGAGGATTTGAAGACTTTGACACTTTGATTGGCATGGCATCTGGCTTACAATCGTCAGTTGGACAACCCCCTCTGCAGGCTGGATCGCTTGTTTCGGCATGGCTAAATATATAAATATGTTGAGCGAGGGCGTGCGCTTAGGCGCGGTGATACGCGCGCGCCAGGAGAAAGGCGCTGCGCTTTTCACCGGGCTGCAGCCTTATACAGATGCGGATTATCCGAAGGCCAGCAACAATACATGATGATGGCGGCGACGGCGGGAAACGGTGAGAAACGAGCCGTGCAGACTGAGGGGGTGAACGCACCGTCAAGCATCGCTGCGCATCGCCTTCCCGCAGCCCTTCCCTAGGGACGCAGTACTTCACCTTTGAACAAGCCACGAACATCGGGGCGATGATGCCTCGAGGGCGCAGTACTTCACCATCGAACAAGCCACCTCAGCACTGTCATCTTTCGGAGAATTCGAATACGACAGAGCCGAGGATAGCAAGACGGAAGATAGATGACGCCACTCGGGCCAAGACAACCCACTTCCCATTGCCAGTTTGTGTTCGGCGCCCTGGGGCCTGAAGTTCGGCGCCGGCGCAACGTGGCCTGTGGGTCGGCGCGCCAGGCAACACGCGATAATCTGAATCATCCCGTCTAGGTGTACGAGCCGAGTACGCATGCCGACATATTCTCCTCCTGTTGGGCTAGTTCCGGCTCCTCATGCGAAGGTCCCAGGGGAGCAACGCAGCTGGTCGCCCCCCCTGCTTCACCTGTAGGCCGCGCGGACAATAGCGACCCACTGCGCGGTGTGTTTGCACAGGGCTGCTCAAGGTGCCGTTTTGTCCTAGCCAGGAGAACATCGAGCAACAACTTCCCTGCATAGTGGTCCCAGGGCCAAGAGGTTTGCCGCCCTGCGCGCGAGGTTCCGCCGTCGCCCCTGCACGCCGCCCAGATGACGATCCTCGGTGCTGCACAATTTGCGACGTCCCCACTCGAGAGTGCCACTCCCGAATCGCCACGCCCCTCTCTGTTTCCCAATCGTAATCCCACGCGGGCCGAGCAGGGTGGGAGGATTCCGCGCCGCCCCCGTCCTAACACGCGGACATCCCGCCAAAGAGGCGCGCGCAGCGGGCGCTGGTAGCCCGGCCCGCGGACGAAGTCATCGCCCGAACAGTTGCGCGTTCCCTTGCCCCCCATCGCACCAGCTAAGATTTGGCACGGCGAAAGGTGGCGTCATCTGCACGGACCTGCACGCGCGTCAACTGGCGTTCGGGATTACTTACTTGCTCGCGGGCCTTCCTGACCATGAACTAGATCATCGGTGACAGGGATTTATTTGTGCAATCTTGCTGCCTGGCCTCTCTCGACGTGACAGGGGGCGGCCATCAAATTTGAGCTGAGTCATCGGCAGGGCAATTCTTACGGGACGGAGATGTGAACGAGCCGCGGAGCTTTTTGTACATTCTACCCGTCCTTGCCCCAACTCGCGCGCCCTCGAGATGGGTACGCAAAACCACCGCCTGAGCAGTTGTCGCTGCCCCTTCGGAGCCTTGCCATTGCCACCGCCTGATCCTCCCTCCTCCTGGCTCTTGGCCAGTGCCTCCAAGACGAGCCTGCTGCGGCCTTCTCGACCGCGCCCCGTGGGGCTGGGAACCAGGCTGGCTCCTGTCCCGAACCCGCCCTTGCCACCAGCAGCGGCAGGCGTAACTTGACAAGGCGGCCGACTAGAACGGTCTTCCCCCCACCGCTGGCTCATGGCGACGATCTGGACGGGGAAGACGCACATCGGACAGCGGGTCCGAGATTGGGCCCAGGGGCCTAAGCCGAAAAACAACTACAGGCGGAAGGGCGTGGAGAGCAGGGGGATGGGAGAGAGGTGAGAGGGGCAGGGGACGGAGGAGAGGGAGAGGGTGATGGGCGGCAAGGGGGGGTGGGAGGGTAGGAGGGGAGGAAAGGGGAGGAGAGGAGGGGGACGAAGAGGAAAGGAGGTCGGGGAGGGGACAGAGGAGAAAGCGAACCACCGTTCCAGCAGGGAGGAGTGCCCCGCCCGCCAGCAGATGCCTCGTAGATGTCGCGCGCGAAGTAGATCAAGAAGGTGGGAACCTGCCAGGGGCAACGTTTCAGCGACGCCCCAAGGATCCTTCCTCGTTGCCCCCTTCCTCATTCTTTATTTCCGCACAGCTCGAAACCAGGTCTGGCTAGCCGAAGGCTTGTGATAAACATTGAGTTGTTGAGCCGTCGGGCCGCATGCCAGCGAAAGAATTTCCGTGCACGAATATGCTGCCATCAACTCGGCGGCAAAGCATGATACCGCAATTTAGTCGTTTGCTCCGGCCGTTGCAACGACTCTGGCAAACTTATCCCCGTGATGATATCCATGGTTCAGTCAGCCAGGCGGGCGCTGAGCAGGCGAATGCAGGTCCCACACCATTTCAGTGGATCTCCACGCTTGCGTCCTCCCACTTGCTTGAATTTCAGCTTCCATGTTCCACGATGCTGCCAAGACTGCTACGTGTCCATCCTTACATTGACTGCGCGTTGGGTGAGCTAATATCTCTGCAGGATGAGTTGATATTGTTCCCTCCACGCTGTGCGGACAGTGAACGGGTGCCAGGAACTGCGTGAGTCGATCAAACAGCTCACGAACTCATGGCACATGTTGTCAGACACTCGAGAGGGGGCGAAGCGTATCCCACCAGAATACGAACCACAAACATGCAATCCCCCACAATGACCAAGAGCCTCCCCCACAGTCGCATGGGGAACCCAAATTCGTGACATCCATCACGACCTTTGAATCAACGAATGATTTCTACATGTATCTCTCCACCAGGAAGCGGTTGACTGCCAGTGGAGCCTTTCCAATATCGCTTTCCGAAAAGTTGCCAGTTGTTGGGAGATCCAACGCGATGGAGTTAACATTCGCGAGCGCGGAGCGTAATGCAACCAGCATCGCAACGAGGCTGCTTGGTCCCGCCTGGACCTCCACTCGGGGCCAAACAAAGCAGCACATAGTTACCCAGAACAAAACACAAACAGGAACTGCATGAATACATGAAACTGTCACGACGACGCATTGAATAGTGCTCACGAACTCCGAACACCCACCACGTAGCGCTTTGCGAAAGACGCAAAGAAACTCGCACGAGACCTGCCGCGCCCCCCGCGCGGCGGCAGGGATCTGCTTACAGCCATGTGCTCCTGTACGTCGGTTTGACCTTACAGAAACGCCGACTAAGGAATGGCTCGCCGCCGTCGTCATGTCGGGGCTTCTCTGGCCTCGGCAAGCCCCGGCCCCAAAGAGGCTCCCCGGCCCAGACCCTGAGGAACGGCCCGACAACCAAAGCCCCTCTTGCGCCCAAGATGATCCTCAACTCAACGTCGTGGCTGCACTGCCCATGCGCCCGCGCATGCCGGTTCGTGCTAGGACGCATGGGGCTCCAACGCGCGACCGGCGCTGCCTGCATGCACAGAATGCCGATGGACAGGGATGGCAGGAACGCGATCGGAGACAGAAGGTTCCCCTTGTAGCCCGAAATCCCTGGCAGGCCGAGGAAAGGAGATGCTGGAGAGAAAAAGAGAGAGAGTCAAAGCGGGATAGGACGAGCGACAGGCAGTGAGAAAGAGAGGGACAGATAGCGACAGAGAGACAGCGAGACAGCGAGGACAAAGATGCAGCAGAGACAGTGGTAGCAAGAATGGCCGGGAGAGAATCGAGAGGGAGAGAGAGAGAGAAAGACAATGATAGGATTGACTAGGAACAGAAAGACCGACAGAAAGAGAGAGAGAGAGAGGCCGAGAAAGAGAGAGAGAGAGAGAGCTAGAGAGAGAGGCCGAGAAAGAGACACAGACAGAGAGAGAAAGAGATAGAGAAACAAACCAAATGAAACAACAAAGAACTGTTAGTCAGCGCGGACCCCAAACCGTGCCTTGCTAGCAGTATATAATGTGCAATCCAGGTTGTGCAATGTATGTGGTGCAACCTACGAGGTGCATTCTAGGTTGTGCAATGTATGTGGTGCAATACATGTTGTGGAACCTATCGATGTTGTGCAATGCGGGTGGTCCAATATATGTAGTGCATTATATGCGGTTCAATCCATGTCGTGCAATATCAGTGTTGCGATCTAAGTTGTGCAATCTCCGTGGGGCAATCTGCAATCTGCGCGGCGCGATGTGGCACAATACCTGTGGTGCAATGTATGCTGCACAATCGATGTAGTGCAATCTATGCGGTGCCATCTATGAGGGGCAGTCCATGTTCTGAAATTTGGGCGGCGACGGGGCGGCGACTGCGGCTACATAGCCGTCAGACCGACCTTCAGGCCCAGACGAAGGGCGGCGACCAAGCGGCGACGGGTCGGCGACGGCTGCTGCATAGCCGCCAGCTCGACCTTCAGGGCCAGCTCCTTTTTCCAGAAGTACGAACCCCCAGTGGCAAACACTGCCGCATTGAGCCAACGTGGCACCATCCTGACGCCATGCCCTTCCTTGGCCTCTGCCTTTCCTGGCCTGCCGGGCCCACGCCGCTCCGCAGCCACGGCTTTTGCAACCTGCGCCGGGGGAGCGTCGGCCCGCAGCATTTTCCTATGGGGAATGCCACGACCTGGAGCGCCGGGACAGGCCGGTTCGCTACCGTGAGCACGTACGACAAGAAATCCTACTGCAACGCTGCAAAAGCTCCGACGGCACATCCATCGCCAGCTCTGAGGCTTGTAATGTGCCCCAGGGCTCCGAAGGCCCATCGACAGATCGGACAAGCGAGAGTCTCGGGGTGAGATCGCAGTGGAACGGGGAGCCTCCCACCAGGAAATCGCTTACGGATTCGAGTTCGTGGTTCGTGTTGTGCGTGCGGGCAAGGCGAAGTTGCGTGGGCGGGTGAAAGGAATGACTCCGCTGTTGCTGGGGCGGGGCCAAAAAAATTGTCCGAACCTCCACCGGCGGGCGGGCGGTGGCCAGGTTATCTCGCAGTGGTGTCCCGTCGGTGTCACGTCGGAGTCCCGCTGGTGTCCCGTAGCTGTCCCGTTGGTGTCCATTCGGTGTCCCGTCGGTGTCCCGTCGGTGTCCCGCCGGTGTCACGTCGGTGTCCCGTCGGTGTCCCGATTGGTGTACCGTCGGTGTCCCGTCGGTGTTCCGATTGGTGTCGCGATCAGTGTCCCGATTGGTGCCCTGGTGGTGTTTGGATGGTGCCTCGATGGTGTCCTGGTGGTGTCCCGATTGGTGTCCCGAGTTGTGCTCCGATGATGTCCTGATGATGTCCCTTGTGGTGTCTGCATGGTGCCTTGGTGGTGTACCGATGGCGACCCGGTGGTGTCCTGATCGTGTAAAGATGGTTTCCAACATCGCCAATAAAATCGATCGTGAAACTTGGAACGTGAGATCGCAGAGCACCCGATGCGCCGAACGCTCACGCAGGGTCAACGATGACACTCCGAGATGCGGCGGTCGCACGGGAGGGCTACGAGCTGTGGGAGGCCCACGAGCTCGACGCGCCCCACGAGTCCTGGCCAGGTTCTGCCAGCCACTGCCCTCGGGAATGGGGGCGACAACTTGCTCCGCGAGGCAGAGGCGCCCGCTCCAGTGGGCGCCGCTGCCCGGGCGGTCGCGGGGCACGCAACTGGCAGCCAAGGGGCCCCTGCACGGGGCGGCTGAGCCGAGCGCAGTGATGGGGCGCGTCGCGAGGATCGAGGCAGGGCATAACGACCCGCGCGGCATTGACGGAATGGCCTATGACATTCGCCATGCAGGCGGGGCATTGCGCCCCTGAGTCGGGGCGATAGGTGATGCCGGTGCAGAACCGCGCGTGGGGCGGCCCCACCGCCCCCCTCCGGCTCGTGAACGGCGCCCGGGGCGTGGTTGCGGCCAATCTCTCCAGCTCGACGGACGGGGAGCGAACTGATGGCACCGCCCTCGCAGGCACCAGGCAAGCGAAATCACTCTCGGGGCGCCCCACCGGGCGGGCTACCTCTGCCATGTTCGGGATTTCGTGGTCGCGCACTCCCCCGGTTACAAAGGCCCCGATTCGGTCAACGACATTCCAAAGACTCGGGTGACAATTTCCGGGGTGCAACAGACAACCACGCAGTCCGTGACTCAAACAAGTCGGCCGCTGCGGTTGGCTCGGCATCTTGCCGTCCCCAAATCGCAAGGCATCGCCTCGCGATCGGGGGGCGCCGCCCCTCTCGACGGGCGCAGCGGGCGCGCTATTCGCGAATCTCGGGCTCGCATTGTGGCGCGGGCGCGAGCCGCGAACTGGAGCCGCATGGCGTTCCCCGAATCAGTTGCCTCCGTCTACAGATTTTCTCACAGCGAGCAGATGCCACGTTCCTCAGGGAGACGGAGCGGCGGGGCACCTCGCATGAGGCGCTGTTGGCAGGGCACGAAAAGCACCTGCAGGCGCAGACCCTGGCGCAAGAGGGCCAGGGCCTGGCAGGCGCGGAGATCGCCGGACTGCGCACGACGATGTCCGTGGCGGGCATGGCGCCAGTCTCCGACAGGGCGACGCGGCACTGCGAGCAACGTCGAGTAGAGCAGAAAGCTGGCGGGCGATGGAACTCCGCGGCATTGTCTCGCGCGGGGGAAGGAGGAGGCGCGCTGGCCAGGGGGGCCCGCCGCTGCGCTGGGCCAGGGGCTGCGGGCCCGGCGCCCGCCGATGAGGACGCCGCGGCGCAGAACATGATCGACATGGGCTCCAACCGCAAGGACATCGTCCGTCCGCGCGAGCAGACGTCTTTTCACTCCAGCCGTGCACTCCTGTTGCTGCTAAACGGGCTCGATGCCAACCGCGACGGTAGATGGCCCCGCCGCCGTGCTCGCAAGAGCGACCTGGGCGCGGATTTCGAGGCGCTGTGGGGAAGGCGAGGCCCTGGCGCAATATTCGCAACGCGCGCGGAGCGTGCTTAACCGCGTGCACGGAAACTCGGACAGGCTGCGGGGACGACTGCGGATGCGTGCTTCTGGTTGTGCCTGGCAGCTGGTCTGGCAGAGGCCGCGCTGCGCGTTTTGGCCGAGGCTCTGCCACGCCGCTTCTCGTCGCGGCAGTCCGTGAGCGAGCTCGTGACTCAGGGCGTGCGCGAATCGATCGACGCCGGCGTGTGCCATGCTCGACTGGGCCTGGTGGCGGAGGCCCTCCACACGCGGTTCTGCGGTGCCGACTCCGCAATGCTACTCAAGGCCGACATGAAGGCAAACATCTGCACAGCTTTTGCCGGCTAAGCCGTCCGCGGTCCCGCGCGCACCAAGGAGATGCACGCTGGGTGCGTCCAGAGGTTGGCTACCAGAGAATACGCCGATGAATTGATCGTCTTGTGCGTCGCCACGGAATCCGGCATTCGCATAACGATCATCCTCTTCACTCGCTTGGTGGCGCTTGAGGTGTGGGCTGTTTTATCGCATGGGCCCGAAGGCGCGGACCACACCATCCACATGGGCAGCATTGATGTGTACTTGTCACGCGGAGCGTGGCTACTGCACCAGGGTCTGCCAGTGCAAGCGTCTTGCGAGCACCTCGGCGACGCAGTTGTCCGCCATGTGCACCCGGCACGGGGCCACTGGCTGGCCGCGCCAGGCTTTGTCAGTGTAGGCAGGGTCCGTGGGCGTCTGATGGTCTTCTCCGATGGCCCGTCTGCGTGACTCTCGTGGCCCTCGTGGCTCGGAGGCGCGCAGGCGCCCACGGCACCAAGCTCTGCCATTGCCTTAGGCGCCGCCGCGTTTGGGCCACCGGCGCGGAGTTCCCTTGGAGGCGGTGGCGCGAGCGCAGAAAAATCATCACACAACCATCAGCATTCCACCACGGCGCTCAGCAATCAACTAACGCAGCGCAGTGCTGGTGGCGTTTATCTTACCCGATGGTGTTCCGACCTTGCTCAACACCACCGCCCATGCTGTCACCCCACACTCATCACCACCGCGGATCACCTTGCCATCAACAACCAACCATCACACTCAGCACCGACCATCACAACACAGTAGTGATGGCATTTTGTGTGGCCTTATGGTACCCTAGTGGTGCCTCGATGGTGTCAGGGTGGTGTCTCGATGGCGTCCCAGTGGTGTTTGGGTTTTCGGTGTTTGGGACGTGGTGTTTCGGCTTTCGGTGTCTTCCGCTGCCATTTCGGCTTGACTGTGCGCAACCGCCAGGTCCGCTCGTTGGGGGGGGGCTGCTCATGCCCAGCGGTGCAGTGCTAGCTAGCGGCCACTGACCGCCAAGCTCTGACAACGATAGTGCGACTGATACTGGAGTCGAACACGGAATCGGCCGTGAGGTCGAAAAGAGATCGATTGAGTGAGATCGAACGTGACATTGATCGATGGTGATGTCGGTCGAGTGGAGCGGATGGTGAGATCCAAAGTGAGATCGATAGAGAGATCATATCGCGACGCAGGATGGTCATCACGCGTCGTCGCCAACTCGAGGGCGCATCACCGGCATCGTCATCATCACAACCATCGCAGTTGTCATCAGCTGGTTCTTCCCACCCACCCTCCTTATCACACGAAGGATGGTCGTATAGGTATCTTGGGGCACCCGTTGGCAGGCAAATGTCTGATCTAGTGTGCCTGCTATATAAGAGGAAAGCCTCCCTGGAGTCAGAAGCAGTTCATGGAAGCGTTTGGTCGTATCCATTGCGCCCAATAGCGTACTCAATTGCACGCAAAGCGGACGTGATGCTTCTCCCTCACATGGCGTCATTGAGCGCCATGGGGGCACTACTCGGCGCTAGTGGACGCTATTCGCCGATCTAAGCACGTTACATTCAAGGCAGGCGGGAACTTCCGTGATACACCATCTGACTGAAGGTCTTGACGCGGGTCGAGCCGCGAGGGGTCAGGTCCCTTGTGGCCCAAGATGTCTCCATCCGCCATGGCTCCACACAGTCCAGGATGGCCTCTGTGTGTTGGCGTTGGACAGACAGCGTGCAGCATCGATCTCCGAAAGGCACGCTATCCCTGCAAAGGCGATCACCCCGCGAGGGCCCCTTCCGTGCACTCTGCCCCCCTGTCATGGCCTCTTCGGAACACGCTATCCCCAAGTTGGGGGATAGCGTGCAATAAGCGGGCCGGCGGCACCACATCGCACGCTATCTTCCCAACGCCAACCGAAAGACCGCTCAGCATGGCCCAAGTTGACGCCAGCATAACCCCAAGAGGCCCAAATAAAGCTCCAAGATGGCCTGGGGTGGCCACTGAGCCCTCCAAGGATTCCCTGGGCCAACATCGCCAACATAGCTGAGGGTAGCAACGTGTATTGTGTTAGTGTTGTTTGTTTCTTTGTTTCTTCCGATGCGATGATTATGAGGACTCAAGATGGGCCCTGGAAGGAGCAAAGAGGGGCCCGACGACACCTCAGCGCCCCAAGATAGCCCCAAGCTTGTTGGTGTTGTTGTTGTTGTTGTTGTTGGTGTTGTTGTTGTTGTTGTTGTTGTTGTTGTTGTTGTTGTTGTTGTTGTTGTTCTGGCTCCAGGGAAGGGGTAGCCGAAGACCAACGGGATGGTAGCGGAAGGGGCCACAGAGGCATCCGAAAGGGCACCGGGAAAGCCCCGAGAGACCCTACGAAGACTTGCCCGATGAGTCCGAAGGTAGCCTCCCCAATGGGTTTCAGGATAGCCCCCCCGAGATGTCCCAAAGCGCCCAGAGGTCCTCGAGTTGGCCACTGCTGAGGGCTGCTCGGGCTTGACTACCACCCCCCGTTCTGTGTCGCGTCGAACGCCCAGAAATTACCCTTTTCTCACGACAACTCTCCTGTGGATCGTTTCTGGATGGGCCGTTCGGGACACGCGAAGCGCGTACAATCATGCCAAATCGCGCGTTTTGAGGCATGGTATACTGCCAAGTGCTGCCTGGTAGGGTAGCTGCACGTAAGCAGCCTGAGACTCCCGCCCCCAGGTCGCGCTCTGTCGTGTACACTCGCCGCCCTCCCCAGGCACCCCCCTGGGCGCCCTAAAGCAACCACAGCACCCTCCCAGGCTCTCCAAGGCTTCCAAGGCGGCCCAGCAAGGCCATTAAGGCCGCCAAGACGGCCAGAGATGTCGCAAGAGGCACCACGGCACCTAGCAGTCCCAAAGAAACGCCAGGAGGTATACAAAAGGTTCCAAGACATTTTCAAGACGCTCTCTGGGAGGGCCTCGAGAGGCCAACACCACTGATTTTGCTTCGGCGTTTGGCATTGAACCCACAAGGATCCATTGAGAGCCCCAAGAGGGCCCATGAACTGTCCAAGAGCTCATCCGGAGGAGCCCAATGCAGCCTAGTAAAGGTCCAAGACGCCAAAAGAGGGCCCCAACGCGGCTCTACGACGACCCAAATAGCACAAAAACGACCCAATAGCCCCCACAGGTGGCTTCAATAATCCGCCGCCGGCTCACGAGCCAAACGGCGAGCAAGAGAAGATGGCAATCGAGACCGAAGGACTAGATCAGCAGATCCCAATCCAAACAAGCTACACCTCTCTAGTCTAAATCATTCAGAAAGACGTTTTCTTAACTGACAGATCGGCACGAAAAGTACAGTGGTGTCCTGGCAGCGGTGCGTTACATGGTCATTCCCACTGTCTGATTGAGTTGAAAAACGGCCACCCATTAATTTCACCCGCGCCGAGTCTATCATGGTATCACAATCCCGTAGTGGTGGCAATGCAAAATCCAGCACTTCGAGAAGCCTTGTTTGCCGAAGCTGGAGCCAAGCTGCACACGAAGAAACACTCGATGCGTGGGTAATTGCATCGTCTCGGCTTCAAGAGGGCCCCAAGGCAAACCGAAAAGGGCCACGGTGGACCCCCAGAATGCCCCACAGGAGCCCCTTGGCAGACCCAGCACGGCCCCACCGAGCCCCAGGAGCGCTCGTCAAGAACCGGAGACGAGAAGCATCGCATGCGACGGCCTTCCAGCCCGTGCTCGAAAGGTCGCCACACAGAGTGCGTCGCTGGCACAATGGGGGAGCTACCGCTCTTGCGCCTGGACAGACACAGTGTCAAACAAGAAGTCAGGCGGACTGCACACGTGCTTCAATGAAATATGACTGACCAAACGACGACACCTCCTTATGCGTATTCTCGAGCTGCTCTTACTGCTTCTTCGCACACTAAAGCTCCTCTGCTCGCCTCTGGTACATACCCACTCCACGTTCTTCGTTCATTCTTTCCCGTGCCACGAGGACATCAGCCATGAATCCATCCGGAGCCCCGCCTAAAGTAGAACTGCCGCTCTGGAAGAAGGTCACGGGCACCTGCCAGAACTCTCCTCGATGAATCAAGACACCATGAAAACATCTCTCGCGTCCAAGACAAACGCGGGAAGTGGAGCCGGAAGTCTGCCGACCCTGCGGCGTGTGCGGGACGCTGTCGTCGCCAGTCCCAAAGGAAATCGAAAAACAAGGAAAAGAAACGTCCGTGCTAAGCGTAGTTAGGTCGAAAGCTTTCCTTTTTCCCTGCCAGGGAAAGGGAAAGCTGCGGGGGGGGGCTGGGGGGGGGGCGGGAGCCCCAAGTCAGAACACCGTTCCCGCCGGGCCCCGGCGGGACCCTGGGGGGTGTCGCCAGCGGGGGTCCCAGGGAGGTCCCGCCTTCAAGGTCGGCGGCACTGGCCGTAAGACCTTCGCAATAGATCTTCCGCGTCCAAGGCAAACGCGGGAGGTGGAGCTGGATCACACACTGGGAGAACAGAGGCATTGCGAGCGCGCTGGGTAAAGGGGAGAGTGCTGGGGCCCGGGACCAGGATCATTGGTTACAGGCCCCTCTGTCCTGTAGGGAGGACGGTGGAGGATGGAGAGGGAGAGGGAAAATAAATAACTATATATATACATATATATATATATAGGGTTGGCGAGCGGACACCCAAGGAGCAACGAGGTCTCGGCTGGATGCGCGTGGCCCCCGACTCCGCTGGACTTCCCAGGAGCCAACGAAAGTGGCGACAGTTGCGCAGTGGGAGGCAGCGCAGGAGGAGGCAGACGGCTGGGGGAGCGAGGCAGGGAGGAAGAGGGAGGCGGGAGAGGTGGAGACTACAGTGCTCTATTCCCCAATGAAAGCTTGCACTGACTGGAGTCCCAGCGGAGGTTGAAAAAATTGCCGAAAATTCCTGGCCGATTTCGGTGGGCGGCCGGGTTCCCGGGTTCCCAGTTCCAGGTTCCCCGGTTCCCGCTTGCTTGTTCGGTTCCCGGGTTTTCGAGTTCCCGGATTTCTGGACGATCTCCTGATCGATCGGTCTCACCATCGATCTCATTACCCACCTCTCTATCAATCTCGCGATCGATCTCACGATCGATCTCACAATCGATCTGACTATCGATCTCACGATCGATCTCACTATAGATCGCACGAGCGATCTCACAATCGATCTCACTAAACTGAATCGCCTTTACGATCGGTCTCACGATCGGCCCTGCTGTTGTCCTCACTACCCATCTCACTATCGATCTCAAAATCGATCCCCATATCCATATCGCAATCGACCTCAGTAACGATCCCAGAATCGATATCACTATCGATGTCACTATTGCTCTCTCGATCGATCTCACTATCCAGCCACGGGACACCACAGGCCGATTTCGACATGTTGAACTATATGCATACGTTCTAATACGTCATGTCCTTGCGACCAGGGAACACACAGTCAAGCTACGAACGGTTGCTATGTACGGCGATGTAACAAGTATATTGGGCAATCGTTCGTCGGGCCTTCTTTAGGCCTGTTGGCCCGTCATGGGATGATCTCTTGGCGGACCATGCTGTCAGGAAGATTAATGAAAGCGGTTTCCTCAACCTCTCCTCACGCCCTCGTGGAGCTTTCTTGGGCCACATCGAAGCCTCTTGGGCTATGGTCAGACACTTAGAACCTTCTAGGAGCAGTATAGGGCCTCGGGTTTCTCGATCTTCCTTGATTCTGGGCTTTTGTCAATCCCAAATGCTGGAGGCATTTGGCGAAATGTCGCAGCCGATTTCGGTGGGCGGCCGGGTTTCCGGGTTCCCGATTTTGGCTTCTGGGTTCCCGTTTCCGGGTTCCGGATTGGTCTCGGTGGGCGGCGCGGTTCCCGGATTCTCAGCTCATATGTGTATATATGTGTATATATCCGCATATACTTAAGCACACTATCGCGAGGGAGTGGGATGGATACGGAGTGGATGCGTATATGTATAATGTGTATATACAACTAGTTTATGTGTATATGAGTATGTGTATATACAGATGTACGCAGAGCAAGTACACATACACATATTAACCCATCCACTGATTGGATTGTCCCTGGTGTAACTCACAACGCGAGCCAAGCACACAGGAGGGTTGGGAGAGAACGCCATAACAGGTGGTTGGCAACTCTTGAATGACCGCACGCGCGCACCTTTCCCTCGCAGGCTGGCGCGCGGCAGCACGGCCCTGGTCAACCCCGGGCACCCCAAGACGAGTTGTAACTCGTGTAGGGACGGGACGGGGCAAAGCGAAGCGAAGGCGAAGCGAAGGCGAAGCGAAGGCGAAGCGAAGGCGAAGCGAAAGCGCTGGAGTCAGGCACGCAAGTATACCCGCGCCCCTCTGGGCGGGGCGCATGCGGCCGTGGCCTCCTATCGTGTACAAGCTGAAGCCGTGAACGAGATCATTCAGGGGCCAGTGCACAGAGAAGCCAGGGGAGAACGCGCGCGAACCGGAAGATGAGGGGGGCGTGGCAGAAGGTGGGGAGCGGAGGAGAGAAAGAGAGAGAGCACGCGCTAGCGACACCCCGGGGCGGGCCGCTCGAGCAGCGCAGCGAAGCCATGCATCGCAGGGCGTGGGACGGGAGTCACAAGAAGCTGGCTGTGGAGGCCACCTCACCAGACGGGGCTCGCGAGACGCCGCCGACGCAACGCTGGGCGTGGGACGGGAGTCGACCACGCCGGCAGCCAAGGATGCGGACGCGGCCTCAAAGGGGGCGATGGGCTGGGAGCCGCCCTCGACGTGGCGGTCGCGAGACCCACCCGGGGCGGACAAAGAGGTCCTGATGACCGAGGAAGGGTGGGTATGGAATCAGCTGCGTGCAGCTCTTTTTCCCGGTGCCTCCTGGCGCCAGAGGCTACCATGTGAGCGATGAAAAGAAACGGGTGTTACGCACATTGGCATAACCTTACGCGGTGACTTTCGCGGGCCGCCATCGTGGCACACCGCGTGGAGAAGACCGCCTATCTACGCGCGACCTTATGAGCGACCTCACGCTGGAAATCTGCACGCCAATGTTTGCGCAACCGACCCGTTTTCTTCCGTCGCTGCCGCGTCGAGGACAGTGCCCGGCGGCGGGTCCGAAACCGGCTGCACGCAGCAACCTTCGCACTTCCGACCCCGTCCTTAGCCCCCGGACCTCCAGGCTGGGGAGCCGAGGCGCGCTCGGCACGACGCTCGCCGACACACCAGGCGAGCAGGAAGCGATGCCGCCTGCGGCAGGACGGCCGCGGACGGCCAGCGCCCACCGCCAGGGAGGGCCTCCGAGCGGGGCCGGACGACGCAGGCGACGGGGGCCAGGCAGCGCCAGCAAGCGCAGCGAGAAGCAGCGACGAGCGCAGGGGAAGTGCTCTGGGAGGCCCGCGCCCGCAGAGTAGCGAGCCAGGTCGAGCAGCGCAGGCAGGCGAAGAGATGGACACCGAGCTGCGCAGGCCGTGAGACTGGGGGCGTAGTCGTGGAGCCGTCGAGGGCCTGCACGTGGTACTGATAGCCGCGATCCAGGAAGCGAGGGCCCCAGGAGCCACTGGACGCCGAGGAGGAACGCATCCAAGGGAGCAGACCACGGGAGCACGCGCGCGCGCTCGCCCGCCTTCGCGCGCGCGTCGCTGGCACTCAAAGGCTTCCGTGCAGCGCTTGATCGGGCAGCTTACGACGCAGGTCGTCAATCTGCACGCGCAGCGACAATGCACCCGAGTCCTGGGGCCTGTGGTCTTCGAGAGGGGTTTCCCGATCGCAGGTCGTAGACTTTGGCGTGCGTGCGCACGCCCACTCAGACAAGCCAACCCCGCTTGTCCCTTTGTTTGGTCAGAGTAGCGTTGTGAACCGTCCACCAGGCTGAAGATCCAGCGGCTGATTCCGATTGCGCACACACTTGTCCGCACGTGGTGCCTAGACCCTTCTTTCCTTTCAGGACACCATACGGGGCTCCTCCGTGAGTGCATTGTCACTTCGATGAGGGGGCCCCTTGCCGCCGCAACAACTCCAGCCGACCCTGCGGGGGGCACGAGGGCGTGAACCAGCACTTGCAGGTAATCGTGCGGAATGATTTTATCCCGGCAGCCACGGATTGAAGCCACACAGGAGTCGCAGTGCCTTTAGCAGACAGGGAAAGAGTCGACTCTCTTGAAGCACAATGTTTGCGCAAGGCATGGGACATCTGCGCAACATGTTGTGCCAACATACGATCAAACTTGGTGTCCTGTCAAACCAGCTGGTGCATTTTGACGAGCCTGTGATGGCTTCTGATGCGAATCAACCGCGCTCGCATATCTTTCAACACACAATGTCGGCTCTGGCCTGCCATAGCCGGCGTGGACGAGGCCGCCCGAAAATATAGTGGACCACTGTCTTGCAGGCTGATCCGCGGACGATCGAGCAAAACAATGGACAAGCAACTCTTCAGGGAGGAACGTTGGAAGCAATCTGTTTACAAACATGTAGATTCCTGTTCCCGAGCTGCTGCACCTGCAGCTCTGAGGACTTCTCCCCTTCCTCGTCCTCGTCCTCTTCTCAAGCTGAGAACATGTCTGCTCTTCCTCCTCTTCTCGATGCTGCTGAAGGACATAACGCTGCGAACCGGGCGACTCCCGAACGCCAGCGGCAGTGCGTACATCAGCCGTGCACTGCAACCGATGTGCCGTCCATGCACGCTTCTGACTGACTGGCACGGCCATCCTGCGGGCCTTCCAAAACATGAATCGTCGACCAACGGAAATTTTCTCCTGGGGAGGCCCCAGGGAGGCCCCCTGGATGCGCCTTGAATCCCCAGCGGGGACCCGTGTCCCCTGGAAGCCACCGCGAGGCTCTTGTCTGAAAGATGTCCGGGACCCCGGAGACCACCCGAAGCTTCTGGAGATCCTCCTGCCAGCCATCGCAGGGCTTGCGCAGGGTCCGCTGCGGGACCCCCTCCCTGGAGAGGCCCCGAACCATCTGCTCTGCATGCCCCTCTCGGAGCCGCAGGGGGCCCTCTGGGGCAAGCCCTGTGGACACACTGGAAAGGACTCTCTGAACGCACCCTGGGGACCCCTGGAAAGCATCCGTGCAAAAGACAGAGTTGACCTGCGGAGGTCCGTGGAGGCCCGCGGCCCCCCCCCCCCTGGAGAGGCCCTGCGCCAGCCCTTTCAGGAGGGGCGGACAGCGCCACACCGCGAGGTGTCCCGGATGAAATGTCAAGCGGGAAGCAGGGGCTGGACGGTGCAGACGTGCAGACACCAGAAACGTCGCGAAGAAGGGAGCTGCAGAAATGGTCTCCATGAGCGTGCCGTTCATGAGACCGACCTGCACAGGGCCCGAGGAGGAGGAGGAGGAGGAGGAGGAGGAGGAGGAGGAGAAAGGGGGGCGGAGAATGAGGAGGAGGAGGAGGAGAGAAATAGGGGCGCGAGACGGGGGGCGCCCAAGGAGCAGAACGACGGCGTGGAGCCGATGAGGGCATATGCCTCCCCCCTCCTTCCAACTTCCTCCTCCGCCTCAACGATTCCATCCACCACAGGCGCGGACAAAACTTGCAGACCCCCGTGATAACCCCTCTCCCCCGTGCCCGGTTCCGCCCATATTGTTCTGCCTTCGCCAGGGACCCATGTTCCCGTTCCCCTCACCTGCCCTCGTTCCCCTCTTTCACCCCCGCTTTCTGTCCTTGCAACTCATGGGGACCTCCCATGCCATCTTGCTGGCTCTTGCGAATCGACGCTGCCGGACGCTAACCGACAATGGTCGGCGCTAAACGACGATGACCATCGGTGGTGCAAGGTGGTGCTAATCGATCGTAAATCCGCCGACCCTTCGGCGTGCAGAAGACGCTGTCGTCGTCGTCGTCGTCGTCGTCGTCGTCGTCGTCGTCGTCGTCGTCGTTGTCATCGCCGCCGCCGCCGCCGCCGCCCGCCGCCGTCGTCGTCGTCGTCGCCACCGCCGCCGTCGCCGTCGTCGTCGTCGTCGTCCTCGTCGCTGCCGTCGTCGTCGTCGTCTCGTCGTCGTCCTCGTCGTCGTCGTCGTTGTCTCCATCAGTTCCAAAGTAATTGAGGACCAAGGAGAAGGAACGTGAACGTCGCAGTCAAGTCGAAGTGAATCCCCTTCCCTCTATCCCTTCCCTGGCGAGGGTGGGGGGAGGAGGGGTGCGGGGGGGAGATGCGGGGGGGGGAGGGGTGCGGGCGGGGGGAGGGGTGCGGGAGGGGGCGGGGGCGGAGGTAGGCGGGGGGTCAAGGGAACAGGAAGCCCTCCCCTCTGGGGTCCTGGCGGTCCCCAGAGGGGGGCGCCACCGGGGGCCCTGGGGGAGGTCCCACCTTCAGGGTCCACGATACCGGCCGCAAGCGTTTTGCAACCAACCGCAGACTCACCGATTACCAGAGTTCGAGTTTCGAGGACACGCACGGCTCGAATGAGTTGCTACCGAATTGTTCCCTACCTATGAACTTCAACCGACGACGCCTTCGACCCACTGCTCCGCCCAATCACCTCCTATGCGTTTGCGCCTCCCCTTGCCCGCCCACCCCGCCCGCCTCCCAAGTCAGAGCTCCCCAATGTGAACAGTATGCCCAGCCTGGCCCGACTCCTTTCACCATTGAAGGCGGGACGTACGTTTGCGCATTGCGCAACATGATTGTCATCGTGGGCCCAGACGGTGAATTGTTGCACGTTGGATGTGTCAGCTAGGTAATGCTATCCAACCATGTTATATGAGCTATGTGGTCTAGGTGTTGTTATACATTTTTGGTGCAGGGAGTGTGTTATAAACTATGTTGTGCAAGCTAATGTTGTGTACGGTACGCAGTGTATGCTGCGTGGTGTCAGCTGCGCGGTGTCATCTTAGCTCCTGGCTTGCGCAGCAGTTCTGTTGGCCAGCTGGAGGGGTCCTGGGGAGTGGTCCCAATGCTTCTGCTGATGGCGCCTGTCGGCCCCGCTGCCTCCCGACAACCGTGCGTCGATCCGGTGGCGCCCGGGCGACCTCTGGCCGTTGCGCGCTGGGAGGCGATTGCCCAGCTCCGCCGGGTTGCCTGCCCCGCTGCTCCTGCAGCTGGGCGCCCGCGCCTAGCTGGTCCTGCAGCGGGGCGTCCCTGGCTCTCCAGGCTGTGATGCCTGCGCCCTCCCCTCCCAGCTTTCTGCCTCGCCGCCGGGAGCTCCCTGTCGGGTGGGGGCTTCCTCGCCCTGTCTCAGCTGTTCAGCCGTCGCAGCACAGCGGCCTGTGGCCATCAGTAGACGCTCAGCAGCTCAGTTGTTGCCGCTGTGCTCCTCAGCCTCTGACTAGCATCTCGGCAGCATTTTGCTGCACGCCCTGACGGGCCCAGCACCTCGTCGCTCCGTCTACGCCCGCGTCCTGATCGCGCCGTACCCCTACAGCAAGTGCTGTCGCCCACGGCTAGATGTCAGAGCACTCGGGTGCTCCCGCTCTCGCTGCTGTGGGTCCGCTGGTCTTACCTCCTGTGCTGACTGACACTGCTTGAACTACACCTTGCGCGCCTGCAGCCCCTGCCAACCCGTTGGTTTGGCCGCGATGCTGTTCCGCGACTGCCACCAGGCTGCTCAGCACGGGCTGGCCGCAACGGCCACTCCTGTCGAAGACCTTCGCTCAATGAGTACCCTCACGCTGCTTCTGGGCACTGCGGCCGCCCTCCGCCCCCTCCTTCTCTGGCCGCCGGACAATCAATTTTCTCGCTTCCAGCTAACTCGAGCGAGCGTGCGGATCGAGTTAGCCGCGCTGCGACGGAAACATGTGGTACGATCTATCTGGTGCGAACTATGTGGTGCAAACTATTTAGTGCAAGCTATGTGGCGCAAACTGTGTGGAGTAAGACATGTGGCGCCCACGGCCAGTGCAGAGGGTCCACAAGGGCGGGCAGCAGACGGAAGCGCCAATTGCGATCGAGCGTAGTCGAAACAACAGTAAACGAGACGTCGAACACTGGGTTGCAAACGATGGGTGGTGGGCTCGAGGGCGAAACCGGGGGCAACCTCGGCAGACCCACCCAGACTCTCGACAAACCTACCCTGCGGACGAAGCACCCAAGAGGCGCCCATGGCCACCCACCAGGCGACACCCTGGCAAACCAACCAATTCCTCAAGCAACAGCAGTAAGAGCCGCGAGTGCAAGGACTGCTCGGGGAATGATCGTCTCTGAGAGGACACGCGAAAACGAGAATGGCATTTACAAGTGCCTTATCACGCGTTAGAGCGAAGATGATACGGACGTGTTCACACCCGAGCAAGTATCTTAGATCTCATGATAATGCCGTGCGATGCTGTTGCTTAGATGCGGCCACTGTCTCGGGTAAAACGAACGCGTCGCATACGAAATGCTGGAAATCCGTCAAACCTCGTGGTGCAGTCATTGGCTTGCGCCACTACAACAAAAGAACAGGCATGTGCACGCGCAGGCACAACAAGAACACCTGCGCAGATCTTAGCAAACGAAAGCAGTGATGCAAAACCTCAATAAAGAACACTGGCACGAACCAGGATTTACCCGCGACTGGCGCCATCAAAAAGAGAGAATCGACCTGCGCACGCACTCCCAACTCCATCAAAGCAGTTGGCCGCAAGTCCGAAAATGCTCTCAGGTCGATCACTCCTGGGCCACATGAGTAGCAGGTGGAACTGGCAACTCCCCTATCTTGGGCTGAGCTATGATCGCTTGGTGGCGATGTCCAAATGTTAGCACCCGAAGCCAGATCGGGGCCTCGCGCAGAGGTCTACACACCACAATCATATGCATACTGTATACGATGAGCCCTGCTGGTGAAATGTGCGCGACCGAAGTCGCGCTAAGCTTCACGTGCCAATTACCCGTCTCACTGGGCCATTCTCACATGGCCCCCACTTCTCCAATACATACTCGAGACCTCGAGCCGCGCGCAAGTGACAAAGTCATATCAAAGGCTCGGCCGAATGATGCCCAAGCCATGATAACACATATACATGCGCAGAGGAGGCTTCCAACAGCGGGTCGACACATACTGTTGCTGCTGAACTACATAGCAAGATCCGCAGCACATTCGAGTCTTCTAAGAGACCCCCCCTTCTTGTAGCAGAATGTTGCATGGATCGCCCCACCCCCACCCACCCGAGGCCACGATCTCTCGTGCTAGTACAAAGAAAAGGATCCGCGCTCCACCGAGGCCACGATCCATTGCAAAAGAACAGAAACGATCCGCGCTCCCAGAGCTTCCAAGACGGCAGAGCTCGGCCACCAAGACCGCCAATCTGGTCGAATATACCTCCAAGGGACGGCCCAACATGGCCCTAAGGTGGCCCAAGATGGCCTCAAGACGATCCAGCAGGCCCAGACGACAGCCGAAGAGGACCACAAGATGATACAAATAGGGCCCGAAGAAGCCAAACCAAATGATTTCCCATGAGAGTCTTCGAACATATGGCCGTCTTCGTCGTTTCGGGTTTCATGCAGCTCCAGACAGCTCAAGCAGCCTCCAAGGTGGTCCCGATGGCCCAAGAAAGCCCCAACGTAGCTCAATCATCCTCCAAAACGGTCTCAAGACAACACAACACGGCCCTTAGACGGCTCAGGACGACCCCAAGAACGCCCCAAGCTGGCAAAAGAGGGCGCCTAGAGAGACCCAATACGGCATCAGATGGCCCCTCGGCCCAAGACGGAACCACGACAGCCCCACGAGTCACCCTAGACGCCAAAAATGGCCCAACAACGGCCCCCAAGATCGCCCCAAGACAGACTAAGATGGCCCCACGGCGGCCCAAGAGGGCCCCAAGGGATGCGCAAGTCTGCCCCACAGGAGCCGAATACAGCCCCAAGACTGCTCAAACGATTCCATCAGAGCTCCGCACGAGGTGATACGACAGGTGTCACACGTTACGCCCTTCGGTGCTCGAATCTTTGCCACCCAACAGGCGCTGAGCTGGCACGATGGCGGGAATTGCCGCGGGCACCTTAATAGGATCCATAACCTGCGCAATGATCCGTGCCTCACCTTCTTCCCCTGCCTTGGTGGGGATGGGGGGCCTAGACGCTGATACGATGGGGTACCGGGCCAGGCTACTGGGCCGGCCCGATCAGAAATCGGCTTGGCCCTGGCCCAGCCGATGGCCTGAGGGGGTGCACAGCCATCGGGATCTGCACAATGATCCGTGGCTCACCTTCCATCACGACAGCTACGCAGCCACCCAAAAATGATGCCAGGTTATGACGATGATGGGGACTCCGAGGCGGCAGGTCAACGAAGTCGACGATACGGTCCAGAGACGACTAGAACCAATCCTGTCAAACCCCTCTCCCTCCTCTGGGATGAGGAGGGGAGGCGACGAGGCGAGGCAGACAGAGGAGGCAGGGAGCAGGGAGGATGATCTGGAGAAAAGGGGATAGGGAGGGGGGATCGGGGAAGGAGGGGGGGAAGGAGAGAGCATGCGGAGCATGTAAAAGCCACACACGTGGCATGGAGGGAGGGGAGGAGAAAGGGGGGAAGGAGGCGGCAGCGAGGCAGGTGGGGAGGAGACAAGGAGGACGGGAGGCGGGGGAGGGGGGGGGGTAAGCTAGGTGCGCTCGCGTAATATCTTACGTCTTACCCCCCCTCCCATCCCCAACCATGGCGTAGATCTCCTCTCTGTTCGAACAATCGGATGTCGTAGCATGGCATAGCATTACATGGCATAGCATGGTGTTGAAGAACAACGCGTAGCATGACATAGCATGGTGTGGCGTGGGCTTCCGCGGCCCTGAAATCAACGAATCAACAAAGAATGTGTACTCACTTCCGATGGTTTCTTCGGAAGGCCATTACTTAGATTTTGGGGCCAATTTGGAAGGACCGCAAACCATGCCGTGGCATGCCATTGAAAATGATGGCGCCAGCGCTGCAGTGGGATTCGGAACGAGCGCAAGGGCGGAAATGAGGCCAACGCTGCAGCGGGAGCACGATTCGGAACGAGCGGTAGCCCGATAATGAGGCCAGCGCCTCAGCGAGTGCAGCCTTTTCAGCAGAAGCCTAGGCGAACACCCCACTCCCAGGAATCCTGTGTAAAAAAAGTCCGCGGATGGGTGCCGAACATTCCCCAGACGGACCAGGGGAGAGAGGAGAGCAGTTTTCATGCGGTGGGGGCACTGGATAAGGAACCCTTAGAGAAGGAAGCCAGGGTCTGGAAGCCAGTGGAACTACAATCGTGGATTGGCCATGGATATCACCGCCGCCCACAGTGGATAAGGAACCGTCCAGGGTCTGAAGCCTCCTGGGCACGTTCCTTAACGAACGCCCCCACCGTTTTGAGTAATTGCGGAGGGGGGCAGCACAAGGAGGGCGGCGGAGGGAGGGGAGCGCAAGGCCCGGAAGGGCGCGGCGACCGCCACGGCACATCCGCAGCCCAGCGCGGTCCGGAGCGCGCCCCGCGCCGGGCCGGCGGCGTCGGCCGGGACCTGCGTCCGGAGGGGGGTTCGGTCCTCGCTCCTGGGTCCTCGAATCTCGATTCTCGCTCCTGGAGGGGGGTTCGATCCTCGCTCCTCGCGTCTGGAGGGGGTTCGATCCTCGCTCCTGGAGGGGGTTTCGATCCTCGCGCCTGGAGGGGGGTTCGATCCTCGCTCCTGGAGGGGGGTTCGATCCTCGCGTCTGGAGGGGGGTTCGGTCCTCGCTCCTGGACCCTCGAATCTCGACTCTCGATCCGCGGGTGAGGGCGAGGGACGGCGGGGTGAAGCGGTGGACGGGGGTCGAGGGAGAACGGGAGAGAGAGACTGGGATGTGTGGGGCCGGAACGTGGGTGGGAGGGAGGCTGCGGGGTGGTGGGGTAGTGGGGGAGGGATGGGATGCGTCGTGAAGCGGAAAAGGCAAGAACGCCAAAATCCTTCAAACACCTGAGGAACATCAACACATGTTGCCTCTTGGGGTCCTCTTGGGAGGCTTCTTGGGGGAAGAGGATGGACGTGAGGGGGGCGGGGGGGAGGAGAGGCGGAGGGTATGTGACGGATGCGGGTCGGGGGAATTTGATTATGGAGGAAGGGTGGGCAGATAGAACGTCGCCGTCGTCGTCGTCGTCGTCGTCGTCGTCGTCGTCGTCGTCGTCGTCGTCTGTCGGCCCCTCGCCCCCTTGCCCCCTTGCCCTTCGTGGGCGCCCAGAGGCGGCAAAGACAGTGGGGGCCAGAGGGGAGATGCCAAAGAAGATGGCGATACCGACGGGGAGGGAGAGCGCGAGGGGGGGCTGTTTTCCTCCTTGTCCTGCTCATCATCTGTCGTCTGCACACTCCTATACGCCCCTTCTCCCTCGAATTCCGCCTGTGCCTTTGTCTTCAAGGGGGGAACGAGATAGTTAGATAGGTTGAGAGTGAGAGACTGAGATAATGCATGACGAATTATACATATGAGAATGAGGGGGCGATGTGGATCTGAGCGGGAGTATATCAGGACGGCACGCATCCTTCCTTCCCCTGGCTTTACGGGACCAGTGCCGCCCTGCAATGCCAAGCGCGAGCTCCACGTCGGGTGGCCTCGGACACAGAGCACCTCGAACCCATTAAGACCTTAACACCATCACTCGAGACGCAGTTGAGCACACGTTGCTCCCTGCTTCTCTGCCCACGGGGGGACGCAAGCGCTCTCGACAGGATCTCCTTCTCCACCGCCGCTGCTCACGAGGGCAACTGTGCTCGCGCGCCGCGCTGCGCGCTGCACGAGGCGTGGGCCACCTCGAGCGCTCGCGCCGCCCCTCTGGGGCAGAAAGGGAGGAGGAAGAGGATGAGGACGAGAACGCGCGCATCGCGAGCCACGAACAACTTCGCGCTCTCGTGGCGGCCCCTCGTCTTCGAGCCCCTGCCGGGCCCCCTCCACGCCCTGGGCAGCGGCGGCCTGCCTCGGCAACGGGGCGCAGGCTCTCCGGAGCTGCACGCCAGGGCCCGGAGCCCCAACGCACGCGACCACCTCCCCGGGACTCTTGACCGCGGCAGGCCACCGCACCTCTTCAACTGGAAAGCCTCCCCGAGGGAGAGGAGGCCAGCAGCGGAGGGGCGGATGGCTCAGAATCGCCCGCGCCCCCCCCCCCACACCCCACCGCCAGGGCCGAGGGCCGAGGGCCACACCCCTGGGGGAGCTGGGAAAAGCGCTGCCCTGGGCGCGGCCTCGCGAGCGTCGCAGGGAAGACGGCGCGACACGCGCGGCGAAGACGAGGACCCCCCCTTCGTGGTCCTCCTGCCCCCCCCTGCCCGTCCTTCCCCGAGATCCGGACGCTGCATCTTTTTCACACTGGGCGGTTTAGCCCAGTCTCCCCCTTCTCCCCTGCCTCCTTCTCCCGCCCCTGCCTCCCTCTTGTCCCTCTTCTCCCTCTTCTCCCCTGCCTCCCTCTTCTCCCCTCTTAGCCTCCTTCTCCCTCTTCTCCCCTGCCTCCTCCTCCCGACCCCCACCCGCCTCCAGCAGAACTTCAATCCAGAGGGATCGTGGAGGCTTTGACAGCCGACTCTAGTACACTGAAGCCTGCAGTGCAACCAGGCCGGGGCCCCGGGCCCTGGATGAGCATCCCGAACCTGTGGCCATCGCCACTGACGTGGCCCTGGCCCCACGAGCCGACGCACCCTGCTGGATGGGGATACGTGCTGTCCCCTCGGGTTGCGCAAAGCCGATATCTGCGGGGCTGGCGGGGCTGAGGAAATCATGGCCCAATGCGGATGGGAGTCGGTTGAACGGTGCTGACTGGAGAACATCCCAAAAGGGGCTCCGAGCAGACGGGGTCAGAGGATCGCGCCGCATCGCATCGGCGACGACGGCGTGAAGAAAAACGGGCTCCACATCGGGCTGTATCGTCGGTGCATCGGCGATGAGGCGCGATCCTCCGACCCCACCCCATGTACTCTGACCCGGTCTGAAAGGCCGAAAGGAACACCGTTCGAAGAGCTTGTCCTCCAGCGGCCCTTCCCGCGGGCGACAAGCGGACCAACAGGCCGTCCTCGCAGCAGGTGCCGTAGGTGCCCTCCTGCGCCTGTCTCAGCTGGCGGCGGCCGAGCTTCCTGCGGTCGCAGGACGAGCAATGCAGCTTCAAACAACTTCAGCAAGCTATCGAAACGAGAATGGTGTTGTGCGTTTCTTCCTTCCGAGGCTGTCTCGCTCAAGACACCGCGTGCGCCGAGCCCGCCTAGCCGGCAGACGTTTGCCCTCCCTGGTGGAATCTGGGGGCCGCTCTGGGGGGACCAGCTTTGGGGAGCCGGACCGCGCAGTCTCTGGTGCGTACTGGAGGCCTCGGGCTCCTGCTGTGGCAGCTCACGGGAGGTTCCCCTGTCACGTTGCCGGCTTGTTGAAGGGGCCCTGGGACACACAAATGAATAATACACAAGTAACAAGATTCTCCATAGTTTCTGAGATTTTCTGGGTTTTTGCCTTCCCCCCACTTCCCATATGTTCCCATATTCTCTTGGGAATCGACGATTAATTGTGTCTGTGTGTTTTTGTCCCTCCTGACTTATGCGAATCAGCGCTAATCGACGCGAGTGGACACTGATCGACGCTAGATCGGCGCTTGCCCATCGACTATCACGTGCTAGCACACCCCAACACACTCGAGTGAACGACCTGAAACACATCATCAGAGGCTCCCATGTGCTGCCATCGAAGATTCCATCAAACCAAGACCCAACAAGGACCAAGGACGAAGGCCTAAAGGTCAGATAAACTCTCCGAATCCCACCAGCCCTCTGGGCGTATGTGGTTTAGAGAGTTTCTTCTTCAACCCCTCCTTCTTCCCCTTCGGGGAGGGGTTCACCCCCCCCCCTCAGAGGGTACTTTTTCGCCCAAGATAGCTCCAAGAGCGCTTCGGAAAGCCTAAGATGACCTCCAGGATTGATCAAGATAGCCGAAGATACCTCAAGATGGCTCCGAAGATGCTCCAAGAGGCTCCAAGACCGCCCCAAGACGGCTCCAAGATGCCAAATAGCTTTCCAAGGAGGCCTCCAAGAGGCAAAAATCCTTTGACAGCCTAAGGAAAATCACTGATGTTTGCTTTCTCGCCGTTTCGCTTCCGATGGCCATCCGAGGCCTCAAGATGGTTCCAAAATGGCTCAAAAAAGCCCCAAGAGGGGCCCAAGAGAGCCCCAAGACGGCCCCAAGAGCGCCCAAGAGCGCTCCAAGAGTGGTCCAAGCGGCGATTTTAGAGGCTCCCGAGGGGCGGCGCTAATTAAACCCCCTCCCTTTTTTGATTGATCTCTTCCAAGATGGCCACAAGATCGCCCCCAAGGCTCTCAAGAGCGCCTCATGAGGGCCCCAAGAGGCGCCCAGGAGGCTCCAAACGACGCCCCAAAGGCTTCCATGAAGCTCCCAAGAGACGCCCAAACGGTCCCAAGAGGCCCCCCCTGAGGCACGGAACAGGCCCCCGGGATCGCCAAAAAGCCCCCAAGACGGCCCAAGAGGCCCCCAAACTCAAAACTGACTTCATCCTCCTCCTAATCGTCTTCCTCCTCCATCTCATCCGCCTCTTTCCTCCTCCCTCCATTCCCTCCCCACCTCATCCTCCTCCTTCATCATCTTCCTTCTCCTCTCCCTCCACTTTCTCATCATCATCCTTATCTTCCTCCTCCTCCTCCTCCTCTTCCCCTTCCTCCTCCTCCTCCTCATCATCATCCCCATATCCGCCTCCCCTTCCTCCTCCTCGTCTTCCTCGTCTTCCTCCTCCTCCTCCTCCTCCTCCTCCTCCTCCTCCTCCTCCTCATCCTCATCATCATCATCATCATCATCATCATCATCATCATCATCATCATCATCATCATCATCATCATCATCATCATCATCATCATCATCATCATCATCATCATCATCATCATCATCAGCATCATCATCATCATCCGATTCCTCGTGTCCTTTCTGTTCCTATCTATCTAGGCCTCTGGCCATTATGTTCGCCCTTCTCCTCCTCTTCCTCCTCGTCCTCCTCCTCCTCATTATCCTCCTGTTCCTCCTGCTCAACCTCCTCATCCTCCTCATCCGCCTATTCCTCCTCCTCCTCCTCCCCCCTCCCTCCTCCCGCTCCCCCTCCTCCTCCTTCCGTTTCTGCTCCTCCTCATCCTCCTCCGGTTCCTCCTCCATCCTCGCCGTCTTGGATGAAACAGGTTCCCCAGCCCTTGGTTACTCTGCGTGCTCCCTCACTTCCCTGATCACCTCCATTCGCCCGGGCATTCGCTGGTCGAGAAACAGCAGCACCATCAGCAACAGCAGCAGAAGCAGTACCAGCAGGAGCAAGAGCACCAGCAGCAACACATGCAACCTTCACGACAAAAGATATCCCAATTCACCGTTGTCGCCCGCTCGGTTTCACTATGTGTTTCTCTCTTTCCCGTCTTCCGTCAGCTCCCCTACGCATCGTTTGTGGATGGGTTGGTGGGGATACATTGTTGGTCGGCGGCCGCGCGACAAAGGTCAGGCGGCAACAGGAATGTCCGGGACGGCGGAACAAGCAAATTCCACGCGAGGCGTGCAATGCACGTGCACTGAGCAAGATGCTCCGCATTCACAGGGACGCACCTAGCGCACAGAAGTGCAAGCGGCGGAGTAAGTCGCCCTTGCGGCGCCAAACTCCTGGCAACTGCCCAGACAGACAGCAATGTATCAGACTGGCACGCCAGCTGCAAGTAGTGGGAACGTAGGCCGGCGACGCCGAAGGCTGACCCACTCGGCGCGCGGCCAACGGAACCTACCACCGACTGTAGACGCTGGCCGAAGATCCAAAACACAGTGTCGCGCGGGTGTGAGAGCGCTGCTGCAGACCACGGAGTGCGACAGGGCGTGTGGAAAGGGAGCAGCTCACCACCGCAAGAAGCACGTAGCTGAAGGGCAGCTGCACACCGTTTGTGAGAACACATGTGGGGGGTGCAGCTAACCGCCGCAAGAGCCACGTAAGCTGCACGGTGCAATGCGGCCTATGGAGTGTGCCAGCGCTGGCCACAAAGCGACAGGGCAGGCGACAATGCGCAACACCGCTGAGGCTGCACCAGATGTGTACTGGCGGTACGAAGCTGAAGGCCAGCTGCACACCGACTGAGTGGACACGCGTGGGGGGGGGTGCAGCTAACCGCCGCAAGAGCCACGTAGTGCACAGAGGGGGGAAGCGACACGGCGCAGAGTGGCGTGGGCTGGAGTTTGCCAGCGAAGAGAGCCACAGAGCGCCCGAGTCAGAATCCTACGCCGCAGCTGAGGCTGCCCCTGATGTGCACCAGCCTGGGAGGCCAGCTGCACGTCGTGATAAACAAAGCCCGACGACGCCGAAGGCTAAACCACTCGGCGCGCGGCCCACGTCACTATCAACGACTGCAGACGCTGGCTACGATGCAAGAACACAGCGCAAGAACACAGTGCCGCAAGGACACGGTGCAGAGCGGCATAGGCTGGAGTGGGCCAGCGCTGAGTGCCACGAAGCGACCAGGCCGAACACACTATGCCCCGGCTAGAGCGACACCTGATGTGCACCAGCTGGGGAAGCCCGCTGCACGTGGTGGAGGAAGGCCGACGACGCCGAAGGCTGAACCACTCGGCGCGCGGCCGACGCCACCGCCACCGACAGCAGATGCTGGCCACGAGCCGTGTGCAAGCGCTGAGGGCCACTAAACGGCCAAGCCAAGCAGTACGCGGCACTGATGTAGGCACCTGACCTAGAACGGCTGTGCGGCGACCAGGAAGGCGACTATTTCAGGCGACAGTCCCTGCCACCGGCAGCGGGCGGCTGTCCTGCGGACAGCAAAGAACGCCGGGGGGGGCCCAAACGGCCGACCTCTGGGCGTCGACAGGCGAGGCTGCCGCTATGAGACAGCACAGGAACCTCTACGTCGGCGAAACTTATAGACGCGGCCTGAGGCACCACTCAGGGGACACGCGTGAAAGAGGCGCACGGGCAAGGCGGCTCGGCAAAACCCTCACTGGTGGATACCGGCGACCCTCGCGTGCCCAAGGACGACCAGCCGCACGGATCCCGCCACCGTGTCCATTGCAAGAGAGTGTGGAGCCCGTGGAAGGGGGGCCTTCCAAGCCGCCAGGCCAACTTGATGACCACTCGGGCTGCCGCAGTTGCCACGGCAGCCTGGCGGGCACAGGTGGGGAAAGGCCGCGCACAAGTTCCCGTCGTCGTTCTGTGGCCGCGTAGTCGACGTGGAGAGGGGAGGGCGCAGCTAACCGCCGCAAGAGGCACGCATCGGAGAGGCTGCTGCACGCCGAGAGAGCCACCACGCGTGGGCGGGGTGCAACTAACCGCCGCAAGTGACACATGTGAGGATGGGGGGGTGGTGGGCCTTTGTCGGGGCGGCTCGGGCCGGTGTGCGCCCACGTAGTACTCGCCGAGTGAGGGGCCGAACGCCGTGCCTTGCGTAACTGGCTGGGCCTGCCAACTGCCGAGGTGCGGCTGTACGGCCTGTGGGGGGGCGACTGCCCCAGGCAACCAGCCTCTGCGACTGGCAGCTGGCGGCTGTCAGGTGGACAGCCGAGTGACGCCTGTGAGGGTGCGTCTACGGTCTACGGTCGTTCCCTGGCCTCCATGCGGCGGCTGTCGCGGTGGGACAGCAAGGCAGGCGCGCCCAGGAGGGGGGGCGGGGCCCGCGGGCTGGCCTCCCCAGCTTCTAGGATTGCTGCGCCATGGGGTGAGATGTGGGGAGCCACTCGCCCCAGCGAGAGCTACCCCAGGGCATTATGGCCGAGGCCAGGCGCTGCAAGGTGAAACTGTACCCGGCCTGTGAGGCTAGGGTAGCGAGGTGGGGGGTTCGTCGTGCGACAGGCTTGGAGGTCGGTGGTCACGCTGTCCAGTCACCCGGGCTTGCTCGCCCCGGGGCGTACTATTGCCTCCTGTCCCACCATCGTGCACGCTTGTCTGCATGTGGGTCGTCACCTCTGGGGGAGTAGCGCTTGCCTTTCCCTTTCCAGTCTGATCCGGCCCAGGGTGCACTCTGGTGGCTCCAGGATTTCCCACTCCTGCCATTCGTGCCAACGAGAGGGGGTGGCGGAGCCGATGGCGCCTGCCCGCCGCTCACGCGCGGGCGCC